GTTCCTGTATAGTGCAACATGCACACACAAAAAGTTCTTTTCCGCACCGTTTTATAGCATAGGAAATTCCTGAGATATCAACAAACGCTGGATTTCGCCCATTTTAGTAGCATAGGAAATTCCTCGGATATCAACAAACGCTGGATTTCGCCCATTTTCTTATTTTCTTCCAGTATTCTGATCTGAACGTAACTAAATTCTAGTTAACAGTTTGAGACTTTGTACGAATTATATGCCTTCAGCGTCGGGGTAGCACACCTGGAAACCGAGACTCCGTCCACTACTCTAGCACTTTAACTAAAATGTAACGTTCATTTTCTGTCAGTTTTCCATGTAACTTTTCATTTCCCAGACGTGCCTTATAAATATTAAGTCCAGAAGGCGCTCTGGCGTACGTAATGATATTGGAGACGTCTACGAAAAGGAAGTAAGTAATGCTGTAACGATCGCAAGCCCTACGTGTAATGCTTCTTACACACATCAACTTTCCTCGTAAGCGGACGTACCGATCAGCTTTGACTGTCTCAATAATCAAAGAATGTATCACCGTGGATCCTATGGGAACACCGAAATGAGCAGACGGTGGTAAGTGCACATCATAGCGGTTATGGGACACGAAGCCATTTTCACGTTCATTCGCCCACGATTCCGTCAAAAGATTTTCACTAAGGCGATGTACGATCTGTTGGAGAGGGTTGCTTGGTTTCTTCAAGAGCCTCTTAAATCGTCCCAGATGACTGCACATTCGGGTGCTCTGCGCACTTAGATCGGTAAAGCTTTCTGTGGAATTGTAAAATTCTCTTTCGCTGTCGTCCATATTAAGTTCTGATCCTGATTCTGACGTTGAGGATGACGAATCGCACGAAAGCGAGTCAGCATTTCCCCTTGCATTCTCCATTTCTTGATGCTTTTTCCTAATTTGTCTCGCGATACGCTTTCTAAAAGACTCCTTTAATTCTCTTGAAAACATTTAAATAGTTGAACACAACTACAAAGATAGTTAGTGGGGGTAGACAACAATAGTAGCGAAGGCAAGGTGCGTCACACACTCAATCCACCAAAACGAGTAATGCCAATTCGTTCAACAATTCACTTTATGAGGTTGGGCCCATTGACCTTCAATTTTGTTTCGACAGCGGTTCGTAGACCAATCACTGTCATGACTGCACAGACGACACTCCATCGCGTGAGTACCTCAGCCAATCAGCGTGTGGGCATTTTGCTGGCACACACATGTCTGGGATATATCGATCACATGAGTCTTTGCTCACCGAATAATCTTTTCCCTAAAGAACGGCTGTAATAAGAATGGTTCAAGCATTAAAGAGGCAGCGTATGAAAAAATTATTAGCTGTAGGATTAGGCACGGACACAAACGAGTACGAAAGTATACTTTCGTACGAACTTTTCGTGCATTCGTGGTAATTCGTGCCAAATTTGTGGCTGTTTTGTTATAAGGGTAGGTTGCCATCGTCTTCACCTAGGGTTCTGATTGATATTATCATGTGCACTACGGCTTAGCTTCCAAAACGAGCCTTTTTTGGTAAACCACAACTCCGACACGTCATAAGGTGACTGTTTGACGAGTCACAGGGCCCAGTCCGGCCATTCCAGTCCCCGACAACAATCAACAGATCATGGTGAGGAAGTCTTTTAATTGCTCCTGTAGCTACAAGTAGAAGTTCTCCTTATCTTGCTGTTCGGCAGCTGATGTTGGTGCATACACAGAAACAACAGATGTTCGTAAAGTGGCCCTTTAGTCGGAAGTAAGCCATCCGGTCATTAACTGGTTCTATTGCCAGTAGTGCACAGTTTGCTTGTTCCGAGGAGGCAGTAGTCACACAGCGTCTTCCAGAAGAGTCCCGTGGGCCACTGAGATACAGGGCGAGGTGGGAAACGAACCCCGGGATTTTATTTCTCGGGTGCCTGAGTTGGGGATTCGGACTTCGGAAAGGCAGCAAACATCCACGTGGTATTGATGGAAACTGCACGCAGTCAGACTTTGCGTACCAGCTTCCA